TGTTATTAATTGTTGTTGATTTTGGGTTGTGATGTGGTATTATAGTTGATTTGGATTTTGATACATATAGTTTTTGTTTTATATTGCTGTAAAAGGATGATGAGGCTTGAGCTGAATTTTGGATTACATGTTACTAGATAAGGAGCAAACACTGATGAATGAGCTCCTGTAATTGAATTTGGACGAGCTCTTGTAATTGAAAAGAGAGAATTCGGACCTGCGCCTGTAATTGAAAAGAGAGAATTTAGACCTGCATGGAGAGATTAACCAGTTGAAAAATTTGAACTCTGAAATGGGAAAAAAGCTCAGAGATCAAGAGATGGTTGCTTCAATTTGGTTGAATTTGAAAATGTGTTTTCTGCAGTATTGCTTATTTGGCAATTAAGTTGTATTAGATAGTTTTCTGCATTTGTAGAGGATCTTTTTATTTGCTTTTGTAATGTACCCCTTATGCCAAACCAGGGCAATCTCTTATGTACTGCAAATGTGAAATGGAATATATGACTCTTTTTTGGTCATGTTAATTGCCAAATTATGTCTATCTTTTGAGCATTTTCAGCTATATAAATGCAAGATTTGCTTGTACAGGACAAAATAGAAAAACAGAACTTAACCAAAAAATACAAAAGTGCAGCAGATTGGTCTCTGTAAACTTTGCTCTATTGCTTGCTTATACAGGACATGACTTAAAAAAAATAGAGCAACAAAAACAAAAACAAAAATACAGAACCAAAAGAAAAAAAAATGGTCCCACTTGTCTAAAAAAATTAATAAACAATAAGTTGGATTTTGACCATTAGTAATTAACGGGTCAAAATTAACGGAAGTGTGGATGGCATCCCATTATGGATGACATTGAACAAAAAATGTGTAGTAGAGGGATGACATTTATATTGTTAAGGAAAGTAGAGGGATGACATCGAACATTTCCTTAGTAGAGGGACGGTAACAAACAATTTCACAAAGTACGAGGACTACAGTTGGCTTTAACCCTTTTTTAATTTATGTCTTGTGTTAAAATGTTTTTTTTAATTATAAATATATAATATAAAAATTAATATTAATGTTAAATAAATAAATTTAATTAAATAATTAATAAATTAAAAATTAATTTTACTTATTAATATAAATTTATATCACAAAAATATGTTTCTTATATTTAATCATGTGTTTAAAAATCACATTTTAAAATAACCCTTTTATGATTTTCTTTTATCCCACAGTTCAATGTTAAGAAATTAACCTCATTTAATTTTTTTTTTATAACATCCAATAATTTATTTGGGAATAATGATAGGAAAAATAAAATTTAAGA